GGAGAGGGTCCAGAGAAGGGCCACTCATATGGTTAAGGGCTTGCAGGCCAAGCCCTATGAGGAGAGACTGGGGCACCTGGACCTCTTCAGCCTCCACAAGACAAGGTTGAGAGGCGACCTGTGGCTGCCCATCCATTCATCCTGGGGGCACAGAAGGGCATCGGTGAGGCTCCGCTCACCAAGACGCCCCTGGGGGGTTACAAGAAATAATGGCCACAAGCTAGCAGAGAGCAGATTTAGACTAGACATTAGGAGGAACTTCTTCACAGTTAGAGTGGCCAAAATCTGGAACAGGCTCCCAAGGGAGGTGGTGCTCTCCCCTACCCTTGGGGTCTTCAAGAGGAGGTTAGATAGGCATCTGCCTGGGGTCATCTGAACCCAGCCCTCTTTCCTGCCTATGCCGGGCGTCGGAGTCGATGATCTATTGAGGTCCCTTCCGACCCTAACATCTATGAATGGGAACATCCAGGGTCACAGCTCTACTTCCCTCAGGTGGAGAGGGCTAGCAGGACAGAAATGCCTGCCTTCCCACACAGGGATTGTCACAGGCCACGTGGCCCCTTACCAATGTCTGAGAGCAGTGTCAGGATGGCTTCCTCCCGCAGGCCGCAGCAGTTCTCCAGCTGGTTCAGGTACTGGAGGGAGCAAGGCAACATATCACAAATCTGCCGCACCCAGCCTACACATGCTACTTGCAAGCAGGAGCTTCTGTAGGGTCGGGACCTTTGCAGAATGATCAACTCAGACGTGCTCCAAACCTACTCTGCCAGCTCCTCCAGTCAGCAACCCCTCCAGGGCCCATCCCCATATCTGAAAACACTTGGCCCAACCAGCTCAGGACGAGGTCCCCTAATCATGGCCCTATCCTCTGAGCAAAATCTGTGCTGGGGCTGCTCACAAAGATTAAAAAAAAAAAAAAAAAAAAAAGATTGAACCAGCCCTATGTGTTTTTTCGCCCTGTGACCGAGAGGGGTTTATCAGTTCCCCACAGGACCCCACCCGCTGGCACAACCTGCTCCATGACATTCTAGGCCCTGCTCACATCCTGTTGTCTGTCTCTCGCAGACGCCCGTGTGGGCACCCCCCAGGCTGACCCACGCTGCCTACCCAGTAGAAATGGGAAGTGTTTACAGACCAAGGAAGGGGATGAGAACTCGTGCAGGACCAAGCCTGCCAAGGGCAGGGGAGGTGGCAGCAGGCACAGTCCTGGTGAGTGCAGGAAGACATGATAGCAACAGTGCATGAAAACTCAAGGGAAGCCTTTCATTTCTGCAGTGCTCGATGGCTATCCCGCCCATCCAGCCAGGGGCCCCACCTTGCGGAGGTCTCCCCCCTGGCAGTACTCCATGGCCAGAGGCGGAAGGTCATTCAGTGCCAGATTTTGCATCCCCTTGGGGACCTCACGGGCAGCAACCACGTTGGCGTGATTCAGCCTAGGGGAGGACAAGAGGGTAAAAGTGTGTGATGGCTGGAACCGACTCCCCACAGGTTGCTCCCAGACAGGGTGCGCGTGCAAACGCCTGAGCAATAGCAGCTGCACAGCGGAGGCAGGTGCACCCTGGGACAAGGATCCTGACCTTTTCATGATCTGTATCTCCAGGCACCACCGCTCCCGGTTGCGCGGGCTCAGCTCCTGGCGGCACTGCTTGATGGCGATCTGCTCCCCCGTGTCCTGGGCGGCACAAAGCAAACGCGCGCAACAACAACGGGTGAGCACCACGGCCGTGCCAGGGCCAGCCACCAAGCCCGCCTGGGCCATTCGAGCGACACGGCTTGGCAAGCGGCGCTCGCACGGGCCCAGCGCCGCGCAGCGACGGTTACCGACTCTCCAATCTATCGCGGGAGGTTTCCGGCGTGCCCGCCACACGACGCCTGCGCGC